TCTGCGGGGCTGCTCCCGGGGGCCGGGGGGGCTGTCGGTGAAGGGGGGAGAAGCGGTGCTGCCCGGGAAGTGCCTTTGCTTCTGCAGGTTGTCGTCCGAGGGTGTCGGAGAGCGGGAAAACCTCTGTGAGGTGTTTTCCATGAAGCTCAGTGCTTTTCCATTTTGCAATTCTTGTTATTGGTTTACATGTTTTCATGTCAAATTATGCCAGAATTTTCGCTGAGGCGGCTTTTCTTAGGACTTCAAGACAGTTTTAGAAAACTCTTCCTTCAAAATAGTCCTCAATTGCAGGCGGTATTCAATGCACCTGTTACTGCTTTGCAGTGCACAGCTTTTCTGAAGAGCTGGGAGTCTGGCATGGAAAGTTTAGGGAATGAAAAAGGCATAAGCAATGGGGTGCGTTAAGAAGAGTGTCCAGCAGGGTGAGGGGGCTTCTCCTCCCCCCCCGCTCTGCCCTGGTAACGCCACACCTGGGGTACTGTGTCCAGTCTGGGCTCCCCAGTTCAGAGGGAGTCCAATGAAAGGCTACAAGGATGGTTAAGGGCCTGGAACTCTTCTTTTATGAGAAAGGGCTGAGAGACCTGGGGCTGTTTAGTCTGGAGAAGAGCAGACGGAAAGGGATCTTATGAATGTTTACAAATACCTGAAGAGTGGCTGAGTGGGCCAGTCTCTTTTTAGTGGTGCCCTGTGATAGGAGAAGGGAACACAGGGAGTTGCACCTCAACAGGAGGAAAAACTACTTTACTGTAAGGGTGATGGAGCACTGGAACAGGCTGCCCAGAGAGGTTGTGTGGAGTCATTTCTGTGTGACCTGCCCTAGGTGATCCTGCTCTGGCAAGGGGGTTGGACTAGATGATCTCCAGAGGTCTCAACCCCTACTGTTCTATGATTCTAGTGTTAATTCTGTCCTACATGTACATCCACTCTGAGATAGTCTTAATTAGCTGTCACATGCCGTGTTGTGAATTAAAAAGTGATTATCATTTTCAGTCTCTCAGCATTCAGTATAGGATCTCACCTTGTGTTATACTGTACTAAAGCAAATGCTGCACAGAAATATTAACTTGCTCATTCATGTGTTCATTGGTGTTTGTCACATTATCTGTGTGGCTCAAAACTGTTAGTTTTCTTTTTTTTTTTTTTACTTCCTTGATAGTATTGGAATGTATTATTATCCTATTTACTGGAGGAAAAAAAAAAAAAGATTAAAAGATAAAAAGACTCAAGCTAAATGTAAATCAGAGGCAGGTTGGAATAGTTCCAGGGTTCACTCTTCCCAATCACATTTCCTTATTCACAGAAATAACATCTATTTACTACTTCTATTTTCTTCACATGCATTTGAAAGGCTCAGCAATTCTTAAATCAAACCGGTGCCTACAAAGCTGGGCAATCAATAAAGGGGAAATTAGAGATGTGCAGTCAGGTGCCAGAGGCTTGAATTGCTTGCAGCAGGGAGCTCAGCTTTCTTTGTGACTCTTCTATTAGTCAAGATAATATTTTATTGTCATTTTATGAATGAGGAATCAAGAAAGAGATCTGAGGGCCTCACTCTGCAAAAGTGACTTAATGCTTTGGTTCACTCATGTGGTTCACCATTTCAAGTGACTACTTCAGATGACAAGGCAGATTTTTTTACAGTACCTAATATTTTGTACACTTTTATAACATCAGAGCAACCATGTTAGATACTCCAGCTACTCATTATACAGAGGAAGACACTAGAGAAGAAAGGCAAAGTGAATTTCCCATCTGTTGTGAAGTAAGTTGTAGATAAAGTGTCAAAACTCAGTGCATCTTTGCTTTCTACCCAAGGCTGGTTGTAAAATCAGTGTAGTTACTTTTCTAGTATTCAGCCTTTCATAGGAGGGGTTTTCTATCTAGACTTGCAGTATTGCAAGCTTCTTTAAAGGAGAAAGTACTGTGCATGAGCAAAAATACATGTATAATAGCATTTCTAAATATGCATGTACTATCCCAGGTTTTAAGGCAAACATATTTCTAGATGTAGATGGTCGGCTGTATTCTGATAATCGCAGATGTTTACTTCGTGATTATCTTACATAAATGACAGTATACTATTATGTATGACCTGGGGAAGTTTGAGGTTTGGCTTTTGGTAAATAAAGGCAGTCACATCTTGAGTATGCATGTGAAATTACTGGAATAATTGCTGATCAAACATGTGAGGGCAACAAAGAGGGATGACCAGTTTCCTAGCTTGCAGTCAGCTCCACTTGTTGGCACTGGCAGGGAAGTACATGAGTATAGGTTCAGCTAGCAGTGAATATGCTGACATACTCTGTCAGCATGTCTCAGTGTTTCACTTACTGCTCTGCACAAGCCTCATCTTCCACCTGGAACCTCCATGCTTAGATCTGTCTCTGGCAGTTTTACCAGAGCACCAAACCTTTCTTTCCACAGTGAAAAGTGGTCTCCTGATGGAACACTAGCAATGAGGTATAGTAGTTGCTTCAGGTGGGTTGCCCAATGCCTAGTCCTGCTCAAATCTGAAAACTGTATGGGATACTTGGTGGGAGAGACAGACTTGTTACTTGCAAGTCCTTTTTAAGAAACCCTAGCCTAGATTAACTTTATGCAAATGTCATTAAACATACTGTACCTAGTAAAAATAAAACATCCATAATGCATGATTCTGGGTGACATCTCTCATCACTTGAGACAGGAGGCACTGAGAGGATAGCTTATTAATGACTATGCCATGTTTGAGTTATCACATCTTTCCAGAGTCATGAACATAAATACCATCACTGAGACCTTCCATTGTGTGCACTTTATTTATATGATGCACATTTCTGTGCCTCCAACTGTTCCTGGGACAGTGTTTACATTACAGGCATTCTGTGAGGAAATCTAGCTAGTGAACAGACACGAAGAGTACTTGATTTTTGTTTTTCTCAAGAATTAGGGATCTGTTGAATGTTTAGTAGCCTTTAAAAAGATTGAAATTCTTTCACTTTTAGGGAAAAAATAGGTCTCAAGACCATGATGTGATTCAAAATCTAAGGAGCCTAGTGGTGGAGTTTTGAAGCAGATTCAGCAATAACTTCACAGTATGAGTAATTGATATAACTAATAATAATAGGTTAGTAGTTTTAGTATCAAATAAGCCAGTACTGCAGAAGCTGCTGTCATGTTTTTATACATTTATTATTCTGAAATGAAGTTTCTATTTCTTATTATTGATGAAACATTTTGATATTTCTGCAGTGAGAAACAAAAATACAACATTTGTGTATTTTAACACTGAAATGTAGAAATTAAAATCTTCATTATGGATAAAGGAAGTTACTCTGATGTGTACTCCAGATGCGAAATTTTCAGGCGAGTCTGTTGGCTGGAAACTAGAATTTTATAGTTTTTTTAAAATCGTATGAGGAAAAAGAAAACTGGGATACGCTAAGCTGAAGGCAAAGCTACCATATGTCTTCAGAAGTGTTATTTGCTGATTCAGATTAAAAAATTGATCCTAACAAGATGTTTCCATATGCTAATCCTCTCTGGTCTCTCTTGTATTGTACACAGTGATTGCTGAAGTTTTCATATAAGCAATTGACAAGAAATTGTATTACTGATGCTACAGTACAGGCGAAGGGAAGAGCACCTATCTCGGTTTTTTGAAAAGCAATTTGTGTCCAGGGACTCGAGAACCAGTGTCACTGCTTTCTGAACTGTATGTGTCTTGAAACTGGTCTTTGGGCATTTGGTTTGCTTATGTACTCTTTTAGTTGCTTGTAGGTACTAAAGAATGTTTTCACTCCCCTAATAAGCTCAAGTGCCACAATGCAAACAGCAGAAATAGGTTGTGATATAGTATCCTCCTAGGAGGTCCATTCATTTCTGGTTATCATTTAAAAAATAAAATTGCCCTGACCTTCTGTATAAATTAAAGTCAGACTATTACTGTGTGATCTGTGACAGATGGCCAGATTTTATTAAATGTAAACAAAAGTGGTAATAATGATATTTAAAATATCTAGCCCTTTTGAAGCTGCCGTGAACATAAAGGAGTAAGGAATACCAAGATCTAAATTCTAAACTGGGATCTATTTAATCTGAACACATTGATTATTTAATGTTCATTGTCTACCTGCATAGTAAGAAAGCAAGTCTTTGTAGTAAGGCACAGGGTATAGTTTATGCTATTGCAGATCTGACAGCTAAAGCAAACTGGTCATAAGCAGTCCCATCATTATTTTTTCTTCCAT